TCTGTTCTTCCTGATTAATTCCTAAAATGTCTTAGCGCACCTTGCTATTTGTATTGTCACTCTAGTGTTCCTTATTTTCAAAACTACAATAATTATTCAAGTAATTAATGTCATAGCATTGTCAGAGTTGGTCCTGTGGATAACTTCCAGAGTGAAGGGAACTGGCCATGAAGCATTGACATGAAGTATTCAACTTCTTTCTTTACTATTTTTAAAATAAATTTTGTTCATAAGTACGATAGACCAGTATGAAAGTGAACTTAACATTCTGCAGATTACACACATATTAACCAAATCTGCAGTGTGGGTGGTTTTTATCCAAATAACATCCATCCTTTTCAAATATTAGTGATGTTTTAAAATTTAAAGGACTAGGGCACTGCATCATCGGAAAAGGCTTCTCTTTTCAGAGTTTTTGGTGACTGAGTGCAACATCACGCAGGTAATATTAAAGCTCTCCTGACTGCTAGGATGGCAGTCTGCCCTCTGCAATAAACACTCAACATCAACTTATTTATGCAGAGAAATCTGAAAGATGCAACTTCGCCCATTAGAAAGCAGAGTACGGTGCTAGTCTTATACTTTAAGTTGATAATTATATCATTTGACTTGAGCAACCACAGAAATATGGACCACTTTTATAACATAATAAAATCTGTAGAAAAGTGTAACTGAAGTGTGTGTGTCAGTCTTCTGTGTGAGTATCATTTAGAACTGGCACCAGCGAGGACCAGTGCCAGTGTCCTCTGATATGGAGAAAGTGTCTTTCTCAGAGCGGACCATGGCTTGGAATTGTGGGTATTTATCCCTCTGCTTGGCATGTTGGAGAAGAAGCTTCTGTGTTCTTTACAAGTCACAGTTTTAATGCTTGGTTTTACTTCTCATGTGCTCAGACCTCTGTATTCCTCAGATATCTGCTGCTCAGATTTCCCATCCATTTGACCCCTCCCTTTCAGTGTCTCTCTTTGTGGTCATACTCAGCCAAACCATTTTCAGATCTGTGTGAATCCAAAGTACTTGTTGCTTCCCTTTCTTACTGCTTTTGAATGCCTTAGAGGAAAAGTGAAAATTTTAACATAATATTTTTTAATTCCTTGAAAATTTCATACATTCATATATTGTATTAGGATCATATTCATCCCCCACTCCTATCCCTGGCTCGCCAAGATCCACCCTCACCCCCCAGCCCCTCCCAACTTCCTTTCCTTTTTCTTTAAAATAACACTATCCGGTCCAATTTGTGCTGCCCACGAACTTATGGGTGCGGGCCCAGCCATCCACTGGAGCATGGTTGATTTACAGGGCCAGCCACACCCTTAAGCAAAACCGATTCTCCCTCCCCAGAAGCCATGAGCTGTCAAAGGCTCCTTAGCTAGAGATGGAAAGCGAATTATATTTTTAATAATTTTTTGAGAATTTCATACATGACTATGTTGTATTTAAATCATTTCCACACACCCCTAACTCTTCTCTTCCTCCTAGTCCCTTTGGGATTCATGAGTTCTATCATTTTATTGTTTTTATTGTGTGTGTGTGTGTGTGTGTGTGTGTGTGTGTGTGTGTGTCCAACTGAATTTACTCCTAAGTACATGTGTTTATGGATAGTCTATCACATGCCTCATTCCTGAGGAAAACTGTTTCTCCGTCCCTCAGCAGCCTTGCTGATCAAGCTCTTCACATAGGGGTGGGGCCGTGTGGATTTTTCCAGTCCTCTTTGGCCGGATGATTGGTGTGGACGTAAGGCGGGTTTTGTTTAGGTAGACATTTTGCTGAGCTTTCGTGGGTGCAGCCTTGCTGCCATGTCTAGAAGACACTATCTCACAGCAGGCGTCCTGGTCCTCTGGCCCTTCCAAACTATCTGATCCCAGAGGCTCAGGAGTGGGGGTTGTGTTGTTGCTGTTTCCCAGTCACTTATCTTCTGCATTCTGAGCGCCTGTGGATCTTTGCAGAAGCCTCCATCTTTTGGGGGGAAAAGCTTCTTTGATGCAGTGTAAGAACTACACTTATCTGTGGGCATAAGAATAAGTATTTAGAGTACAGTTAGAAGCAAAGCTGTATTGAGTCAGGAAAATGGCATGTGTAGGTCTATGACTTTTCCAGCCACAGGTATTTGGCTGGGTTTACAGTACCAGGCATGAGCTGTCCCCTATTGAATGGACAATAAATCCACAAACACAGCTGTTGGGTACCCTCAAGATAAAAGAGCCACTATTGTGCCATTGGTAATGTCTTGCCAGCCCAGTCATTGTTGGGGTTCACAGATCTACAGCTGAATTGGATACTGATTTCTTTTCTCCCTTGATGACTTGCATAGCACCTTGTATGATACCCAGTCCTCAGGGGGCACGTTTTCAGGTCAGTCCCAGCTCGATTCCTCTAGGTCCTATGTCTGAACTGTGTGGTGTCTTCAGTAATAGGGTCTTAGCTTCAAGTCTGGGAAGCAACTAAGGGCAATAGTAGCAGTCTGCATTGTTTTGGAGTTTCTTGAAACTATGGTGAACATCTTGAAGGGAAGTTTCCCATGCCTGGCATTGGGCTATCTGTGAGTCTTTGACTCCTAGAGGAAACATCTTTACCACATACGGTCTAATTACATTTAAACTGTCTCTACACACACACACGCGCGCGCACACACAAACATATATGTATAAGTAGACACACGCATGCATTTAAAAATATTTTATTTATTATTTTTTCATTTTATGTCTATGAGTGTACCATCTGCATGTATGTAAGTGCACCCCTGGCATGCAGTGCCTGCAGAGGTCAGAAGAGGGCCTTGGATCCCCTAGAACTGGAGATGTTAGTGATGGTTGTTAGCCACCATGTTGGTTCTGGGAACCAAAGTCTGGGCCTCTGGAAGAGTAGTCAGTGCTCTTCACCACTGAGCCACTCCTGCAGCCCACACCCATGTATTTTTAAGTCAGCTTACAAAGTAATGTTCTCTGGGGGATTTTCATGCACCCGCCTCCCTCTCCTATGTTGTCCTCTTCCCATTTGCAGTGATGTCCCCCATGTCCCCATCTTTTCTTTATAGCACCTGTATCTTAGTGTCCCCTCTCTAGAGCGCCTTCTCTCTCCAGCCTGCATAGTCCCTTCTACTCTCCTGGCTGCTGTGGTTACTCTAGGTTATGTAATCAAATCTAGTATTCCGAACTAGGCTCTGCGAATGAGAGCAGTCATGTGGATTTGTCTTTCTGGGACCGGGCTACGTCACTCGATAAGAGTATTTTTCAGTTCTATCCATTTGCCTACAAATGTCATTATTTCATTTTTCTTCACAGCTGACTATAACTCCATTATGTTTATGTACCACATTTTCATTATCCATTCTGCAGTTGAAGGACATTTAGGTTGTTCCCATCTCCTCACTATTGTGCACAGTGTGGATATGAATGTGCCAGGAGGCATCTCTGTAGGAAGAAGCTTTCTGGTGGAATGTTGGGAATCTCTTACATATAATATCATATCATCTGAAAATAGAGGCAGTTTAACTTTTTTCTTCTTAGCATCCCCTTAACCTTCTTCTCATCCTTTACTGCCTTGACACTGCTTCAGATACTGTATTGAAAGGAATGGGGATAGTGAGTAGCCCTGTCTTGTTCCTGATTTTAATGTGACTGCTTACAGTTCTTCCTATTTAAAATGATGTTGACTGTGGTTGAGGTGTGTTCCCTCCAGTGCTACGTTCACTGGGACTTTTATCATGAAAGTATCATGGATTTTGTCAAAGGCTTTGTCTACATCTGCTGAGATGATCATGTTTTTTTCTCTTTTTTCCTCTTTGATTATTTTTATTCCTTATTCATTGTATACATTCATTTTAAGTGGTACTGCATACATGATGGCATTATATTGTACATGGAGCCTATCTCCCCAACACCCTCTATTAGAGATCATATCTTTAAGTCCATTTCTATGACTTATTATAGTACTGACTTACTTGGGTTAAACTCATCCATACATCTTCAGCATAAAACTGATCTGACCGTGGTGGGGGATCATTTTGATATTATTCCTATATTTGGTTTTCAAGTATAAGAACACATGAATTCTGGTGGGGTGGCTATGGGGGAGATAGGTGCGGGAGGGGACTCTAAAACAATTAAGTTGTGTTGTATGAAATGCCCCAAAATTCAGTAACAATATATATTGAAAAAATAATTTTTACATGTATGTTCATGAGGGATACTATAGTTCTTTTTTGGTAAATCGTGTTTTCACCTGTCTTTTTAATTAGAGTAATGCTGGCTTTAGAGAACAAGTTTAAACTCTTTTGTTGCTTTACTAGTTTTTTTTTTAATAATTCAAGAAGCATTGATTGTAGTTCTTTGAAAGTCTGTTAGAATTCTGCTGTGATTTCATCTGGACCTGTTTGTTTATATGTTTATAAGTAAGTGTCAGAAGGCTTTTTCTTGCTTTTTCAATCTCCTTATTTGTTAAGGATCTGTTTAAGTCGCTGATCTCTTATTAAGGGTTTTACCTTGGTGCATCAGAGATATCTAGAAATCCATTCATTTGAAAGAAAACAATTTTTAGTTAATATGAGGTATGTGTGAACACGATCGGGTCATCCTTTCATTCATTCTCACTCTAGCATTAACTCGTAATGAAACAGTGAAACTTCACCATGAAGGAGAAGGAGAAGCAGACGTTGCTGTGCCACCAACTGTAAAATTAGGTTTCAGAAGAGAAGCGTGTAATTACTGAACGTGCAAGCCATGCACCCGCTCATTTTCTCTAAGTTATCCTTTAGCTGAGGAACGCTCAAACAGTGTCTCATGTACCCCAGGCTGGCCTCGAACATGGTATGTACCTAAGGTGGCCCTTATTCCTCTGGCCTCCGTCTTGCAAGTGCTGGGATTATAGGCATGTACCCCTGGACTTGGCTGGTTTCCCCTAACCTTGTTGAGAAAGTTATATCCGTGTTTACACACTGCTTATTTTTTTTTTGGAGATCAGCGTATCCATTCAGTCTTTTTCAACAACTGTTTCTACAGCTTCTGCCACCTTTGAAGACTTTCAGATCCGGCCCCACGCCCTGTTTGTTCATTCGTACAGAGCTCCAGCTTTCTGTGATCACTGTGGAGAAATGCTGTGGGGGCTGGTGCGCCAGGGCCTGAAATGTGAAGGTGAGTCATTTGCTCCCCTTGCCTTGGTGAACATGGTTTTAAAAAATATTTTTAAGTGCATGAGTGTATTGCCTGCATGTGTGTAAGGGCACCCGTGCCATGCAGTGCCCGAGAAGGTCAGAAGAGTGTGCCAGGTTCCCCTGGAACTGGAGCTAGGGATGATTGTTAGCTACCATATTGATGCTGAGAATCGGATCCAGGTCTTCTGTGAGAGCTCTTAACTGCTGAGCCATCCCTCCAGCCCCAGTGAATCTTTTCTGAAGATCCTGCTTCCATGACACTGTTTCTCTCTCTCTCTCTCTCTCTCTCTCTCTCTCTCTCTCTCTCTCTCTCTCTCTCTCTGTGTGTGTGTGTGTGTGTGTGTGTGTGTGTGTGTGTGTGTGTGTGTCCTCTCTCTCAGAAGTAGCCTCTCACCATCTTTGGGTGTGTGCAATTATCTGTGTGGTATTTTTTACAATTTTTTAAGTTTCTTGACCTTGACCTTTTTGACCTGATCTAAGAAAGAGCCTTATTCTCACATCTTTCCCCTATATCATGAGGGAATATTTTCCACTGTTGAATGGGAAATTTTAGCCACAGATGAAAAACAAAATTTTCAATTCAAGTAAGCCAGAAATTGGAATAGTGGGTTTTAAAATGAGCAGAGATTAAAAGATTAATCAAGTCACTTATCAGGGAGATATTGGATCGAACTGAATAGACTGGGACTTATACCTTGTGTTTTTATACCATACCATAGCTTTAACACCACCCGGAAAAGAAAAACCCTTGAACTGGGCAATTCAGAGTTCTGGAGCAGCCGGATCTGGACTTTAGATTGGGAAGGATAGAGCTCTTTGGTGTTTGGTCAGTATGATCACAATTTGGGGATGCAACCGCTAGATAAAAATCACATAAAAGTTCGTTCTTATCTATGAGGAGACAGTTCAAAGACAGCAATCCTAGAAGAGCGCATGCCTAAGGGATGCAATCATTTGAACCAGATTTCTGACACTAACAAATATTTAGAGAAATCAGCTTCAAGAGACTTATTTTGGCTCATGTTTTCAGGGGTTTCAGTCCATGGTCACTTGACTCCGCTGTGGTGAGGCTCACAGCAAGGACGCATGGTGAAATAGTGCCAATCATCTCAAGAGAGCCGAGAGAGGTTGACATGAGGGATGAGGCGTAGCCTTCACAGGCACCTCCAGTGACTGACTTTCTTCAGTTATGCTCTAGCACCCAACATTTCTACATCTTCCAAGAGCACCTCAGAATGGATGGCCAGGCTTTCAACAGAGGAGAGGCACACGCGTTGGGCACTCCGAACGGAAACTACAACATTCTGCTCTGATCCAAACAGCTTACGTCAGTCTATAATGTACAAGGCATTTAGTTCATCTCTCACCGCTTAACAGTGCCAGTGCTGGTCAAAAGTACACATTGCCGCCTCCTTGGGACCTCACAGCCATAAACTTAGTTTTCTTTTTCTTTTAAGTTTCAGGCTTCCAACCTACAGTGAAATAGAGGAAGCATTCAGATTCAGATTTAGAAGAGACTACTAAGAAAGGGTCCAAAGCAAGACCCAAATCAGAACAGCATATATTAAATCCTTTAGATCTGCGTTCAGCATCTAGGCCACATGGTGGCATAAGACGAGCTCTAAATGATTTGGACAGAGCTGCTCTAATGGCTTTTCTGGTAGCAGCTCATATGGCACCGAGCTCTCTTAGGCTACCTCTGCTTTATGACTGTAACTTTCCTCAGCAGACATCTCCAAATTCCTATCATCCCCACTGGGCCTTCAGCATCACTCTCATGATGTCATGAACTGCCCTCTTGGGCTGCTACCGGGACTCAGCATGCTACACTGCCTGGCCTCCCAGTCTTTTCTTTGAAATCTCGGTGGAAGCCATCATGACCATGTAACTCTTATATTCTGCAAGCCCAGAAAACAAGAACCAAGTATATACATCACAATTTGCCCTCAGGGGGACCTATAGTCAGGTCTCTTTGGCTCACGTGGCTTCATTAGCCTTTGCATGCCTGGGTAACTGAACTGTAACAGGTTTTATGAAGGATTATATGACTTTTTTGTGATATATAGAAATCCTGAGTAGCAGAAGCCAGTTACATGGGAAATATAAATAGTAGAAATTTTGAAAGAACATAATACTTTCCTAAGTGGGACATAGGCTTCCAAATATCTGCTACTTGGAAATCAGCAACTGAGGTATATTACATGCCATCTTAAGTCCATAAAGTATTTATTTTTATCTCCAATTTACAGACTGGAAAATTAAGGAGAAATAATTTGTCCGGGGCCATGTGTACAAATAAGATACAAAAACAGGATTAGGATCAGTGTCACCCCAAATTTGTGATGCACTGTGAGTAAATTTCCGTCTGTGTGCAAACACACATTTCAACTTATAGCAGCTGAAAGTGGTTTGATATGTTTATAAATTATTTAGTGATCTCTCAAAACCCATATTCAGAACATTAAAAAAAAAACACCCAGGGGCATTGTTAAGCTTGTCTAATAAAATCAGAATTGAAAACCTATATACAGGGGCTGGAGAGATGGCTCAGTGGTTAAGAGTACTGACTGTTCTTGCAGAAGACCCGGGTTCGAATCCCAGCACTCACATGGCAGCTAACAACTGTCCATAACTCCATTTCCAGGGGATCTGACAGCCTCTTCTGTCCTCTGCAGGCATTGCACGACATGGGCGCACTTACCTACATGCAGGCAATACACGCATACACATAAAATAAAAATAATAAATAGAATATTAAAAAAATAAAACCTATGTACAAATAGGAAGAAAAATCATCAGAAAAGGCACACAAACAAAATTTCTAATTCCAAATACCAAGAAAGGAAGTCACACTACTTTTAGACGTTCATAACTTATAAGCAGTAGCACAATAACTTTGAATTTATTATTTAATACAAAGTATGTTTTGTTTGTTTGTTCTTTCCAGGGTGTGGTCTGAATTACCATAAGAGATGTGCATTTAAAATCCCTAACAATTGCAGTGGAGTGAGACGGAGAAGGCTCTCGAATGTGTCTCTCACTGGACTCAGCACTGTCCGCACATCATCTGCTGAGCTCTCCACCAGTGCCCCTGATGAGCCTCTGCTGGTATGGCCTCCTGTTTATCCATTCCCCATTTGCTCCAGAAATATGGAGGACATTGTGATAACAGTGTCAGCCCAAGAGGGCACCACCTGGGTGTAAATGACTGTGTTTCTGCAGGGTCTCTGCTGCAGGTTGGTCAATGCATCACCAAATATCCAACAGCTTTGCGTTTGCTTTCTTCCTGGAGCTTTGTGAAACTGTAAAATATGTGAGGTTTCATCATGGTCAGGGGCCAGAGCAGCATGAACTGGTTGGTGTGTTAATGTTATAAAACATAGTTTGTCAACCAGTTTGGAAACCAAAGCTGCAAGATGCTCTCCTCTGCACATTATCTAAGTGCTTTGTAGCATGCGGAATACTTCTTCCAAGATAAAATCTGAAATTTGCCTTTATGGAAACACAGAAGTCATATTGTTTGTCGCTACTGGTATACATGCAAGTTTATCATCAGAGTCTGACAAATTCCATGAGAAAAAGAGCATTTAACTTTAAATATTCCCCATACCTGTGAAATAGTTGATGGAATGTTTTAAATATTTGATCAAGAAATTATTTTTATATTTTAAACATTAATAGAGGAAAATTATGTTAACTGTGTGAATTATTTAAAGCAAAAATGAAATTCTGGAATTACTAAGAGTTTAAGGCTGTAGATTTCCCTAATTTCCCGTGTCCTCCATTGAATATTACATCAATTTACTAAAATCTAGTTACTGTAAAAATGAATGAGATCCCTGCACTTGGGAGGGCCAGGTGGATCTCTGTGCAATTGAAGGCAGCCTGGTCTCCAGAGCGAGTCCAGGCCAGCTGGGGCTACAAGGAGACCCTGTCTCAAAAAAATAAAAATAAGTCAATGAGGAAAAAATTAAGCTTACTAGAACACTTAGGTTAAATAACTGTCCCTTAAATTTGAAGGTGGAAATAAAGTTTGAAGCTACAGGGAGCATGCTATATTAATTACTTTATTATCCGGAGGGTATTTGATTGTGATTTTTTATATGACTTAAGTTGTGTTGAAGAATAAATAAGCATCATCAGGTGGATGCGCCTCTTTATAAATAGGAAAACTCTGAACTCTGTCTTCCCATGGTTTGGCAGGGGGTATTGTCTCCTGTCTTAATACTTCTTCAGATGAAGCTGTTGTGGGAAGATAGGTGCTAAATCCTAGTAACAACTAGAATTATACCTTTGTAACTATCCAGAAGGTGTATAAGTGATTATGTGCCATCATAAAAGTCGAGTTAGTTAGAATAATGCAAGTACTCTGATTTAAAGTTCTTTGGTTGAAAACAATCTGAGCACAATGACCAATGATGAAAGGATTACCATACGTGATCTCAAACTATATTATCAAGCTGTAGTCATAAGAACAGCATGGTACTGGCACAAAAACAGACACATAGATCAATGGAGTATAATTGAAGACCCAATCATGAACACATGTAATTTCAGCCACCTGATATTTAACAGAGGTATCAAGAACATAAACTGGAGGAAAGACAGCATGTTCAGCAAATGGTGCTGGCAAAACTGGATCTCCACCTGTAGAAGAATGAAACTAGATCCTTATCTTTCACCTTGCACAAAAGTCAATCCAAATGGATCAAAGACCTCAATGTGAAACCTAAAACTGAAAGTGTTAGAAGAAAATATAGACAGTACCCTACAAGATACAGGGGTAGAAAAGACTTTCTAAATCAGACATCAGTTGCTCAGGAATTAAGATCAACAATCAACAAGTGAGATCTCATTAAACTAAAAAGCTTCTGTACAGCAAAAGAAACAAACAAGTACGTGAAGAGAAAACCCACAGAGTGGGAGAAAAATCTTCACTGGAGACACATCTGCCAGTTTAACACCCAGAATATATAAACAGCCAAGAAAACTAATTAACCCATTTAAAGATAGGCTATGGGTCTGAACAGAGAGTTCTCAAAGGAAGAAATAAAGATGGCTAAGAAATACCTTAAGATGTGTTTAACATCACTAAGCCATCTCTCCAGCCCCCTTGAAATCTTTCTTTAAGATAAGTCATATCAGAAGCAAAACTGTTGTACTACAGTGTTCTACCTCTGGGGTGGGTAACTCTTTTCTCCAGTGATCTTGAGAAACTTCAGATGATTCAAAGTTGACAGCAAGGTAAAAGGACAGCGTATATTTCCCAGTATTTTTTTAATTAATTAAAATTCCTGCAAATAAGGCCGAGGAGATGACTCAGTGGGTACTGCTTGTGGTACAAAGAGGAGGACCAGGGTCCACATCCCCAGCACTCCCATGAGAACAAGTGGGCATGGTTGCCTGCTTTTAATCCCGTCACTCAGGAGGCAGAGAGAGAGGGTCTGTTAGCTCTGGGTACGCATCAGAGACCCTGCCTCACTGGATAAGGTCCAAGGTGATTGACAAAGAAACCCAAATTCAATCTCTGGCCTCCACATGCATGTGCAGTGCACATACACCCAGGCACATGCAACTACATGCATGTAAACATGCATATATCCATGCAAACACACTTCTTTGTTAAAAAGAAGACCTGCAAACAAGTAAATCTTGTCAAATCAAATTGGAAAATTCCTCTTGGTACATCTAACTAGTGGACATCCTAATCATTATTAAGTATAGTTAAAGGCCAAAAAAATCTTGCAATAATGAAGTCAGTGTTCTGAAATTAAATCCAAGATGGAATTGCTTCTTTTCTGGTAAAACCCATCAATATCATGGGAAAGATTATCTTTGGGAAATGGTAAAGAAATTAGGGAGTTAATATATGCAGCACAGTCCATCCTGAAACACCATAATCTGAAGAACATGTTCCTGATAGTGAACGCTGATGAGAGACCAGTGTAAAGGCCTTCAGGACCAATAACTGAAGGAAAAGTAGGAGACTGGATGTCACATCCATAAATGAGAAGAATACTATCTTGTTTTGAAAAATGGAGAAACTTGATTGTGTCCCATAACAGTACCTACAAAACAAGGTCATACTTTCCCACAAAAGCCATCTTTGGATCTGTGTTCAAACAAGCAGTTTCTCATGAATACTGACAAGAATTAAGGAGATTTTTCTATGTGCAATAATTTATTTAATAAGTAGAAAGAAATGTGCTAATACCAAAACACAGTGATATAATTGTTAGGGAAAGTGCCAACCATATTTCATTTCTGTTTTGGCTTCTGGTTATCAGATAGAGCTGTGTGAACAGACTTTAAAGGAACTTTGAAGCCAAAAGAATAATTCGATATCAATCACCCGATAAGCGTACTCTGCCTCGTCAAGCGCCACCTTTCATAGTACTCTTCTTTAAAACACTTTAGAGTGCGTTTTATTTACAAATGGTATTTTAACTTTGAGTGACTCAGAAAATAAAAACTGAGCAAAAACAGTACACAGGCATATCTGTCATCTTACACGTCTTGCAGTTGGCCATCCAGGTTTATGAACTCTGGACAGTTAGTGATTAAGCGTCAGCCCACCTCTTACCGGCAGGCAGATGACAGCTCCGTAATGTCTGATTACTTTAATGACCTCTTCTTCTTTTCCCATCGAGAGGAAGAATTATTGTGAAGAAAACTTAATCTTTTCCTTAAAGGTCAAAAATGCTTCACTTTAATTTATTTCAACGAGGTAACAGAGATCAGGACAAATAGGGTGTTGATTTTTCTGTCCTCTCCACTACGCCTGACTGCAGACTGTTTTGCATTTGTGACTTATTGTCTGTGGCTCCATTTAAATTTTAAAAGTATTTTGCAGTTTGGATGTTACAGACTGACTTTGCCCTTTGCCTGACAACATGTACCTGTTGAACAATATTGAGGAAGACGTGTGGCTGTTCTCCAGTAACTTTCTTTTCCTTTTCTCTCCTTTGCCCGCTTCTGCTCTGTTAACTCTGTTTCAGTCTCCTGTGAGCCCTGGCTTCGAGGTACGTACTAAACCACCTGGCTTCCGCCACTGGCAGCCGGTTCTTCTAACCAGTCTTGTAATAGTCCGTTAATAGCTGCATTAATTGCACGACAATGCTCAGGTCAGAGTTTAGGTCAGCGTTCAACCCTCTGAATGCAGGACAGGAAGCTTCCGGGCTTTCCTTGTTTGTCTTCTCTTGTCATTGTGTAACTTCCCACGGTCCTCAGAAAGTACAGTGCAATCATAATTAATGTAATACAATTAAGTACTAATTAGGTGGCACAAAAGCAAACTTAAAGTTTCCAATTTAGGCAGAAATTGTACACGGAAAAGAGAAATTTCCTCCAAAATGTATCAGCTAAACCCTCTGTAAAATCGGTTCTTTACCTATGTAAGCAATTAATAGTCTGAATGTGTGGGAGAAGCAGTTACAGGGAATCTGATGGCTGGCACCTGCAGCAGGACTCTTGTTGGGAGGAATTTCTTCAGCCAATTGACCTATTAAAGTTTGGCCGCTGAGAGTTGACATACTGCTTTTTTCCCTCCAGAGGACATAAATTTCAAGTACCATTATTAGTGTGTCTTCTTAGATGGTCTTACTACAATTACTCTAACAAGAGATGCTAATGAAAACACAACCAGGAAATGTTCTGGGTTAAATGAAATTGACAAGTCAAGATTTCAGTTCATTAAATACAAAATTAAGATATGGACTTCAATAGTAGTAAATTCCTATTCTGGAAAAAATCTTTGCCAAAGGAGTGTCTTACTGAGAACAGATCAGCATAAAAAATAAATATAATTTTTTACATTATTGTGAATTCGTTTTCTTGAGTGTTTTCAGACTTAATTTTCATGGTGAATTAGTATTTTTCCCTTCAGATAATCCCTAGGGCAGGAGGCCAAGAAAGGGCAGGAGGCATTTTTCACTTCTCTCACAGTTTATTTAGGAAAGCTGAACTTTCTGTAGAACTTGTACCGATGAAAGGCAGTGGGCCTTTCTTCTTCAAGGGACATTTTTCCTGCTGGGAATAAGATACATTTTCTGCATGTTGTTTTTCTTGAACTCTCTCTGTATCTAGTATATCAAAGAGATATAGACTGCTTTCTTCATCATTGTATATGAAGACATGGATGCATGAAATGTGACAATATTTCCTGAGAGAAATACTTTATAGATAATTCTGTAAATTGAAAACAAATTATCATAGACAATTGGTCACTTTTTCATGTTGAGCATGCCCTGGTCACTTTACCCTTTCATGTTTTGAACTCTATAGTGGAAAAGTATAAAACTTAGATAAATGATCTGCCCTTGTAGGGCATAGATACTCTGCCAGAAATAAATGTAGCATGTGTCTGTCAAAAGCTCCTAGGTTTATATCTATAGCTATTGATTACTTAAGCTCTCCTATGGATCAGGTGGTTTCCACTTGTAAATGCCGAACTCTGCTGGAGTAAGCATTAGACATGTATTTTCTTGCCTGTTTATAAAACTGTTGTTTAGTTCTCGGTAAGAATTTGCTGATTAGGTTAATGCATTATTTCATAGAGACCAACTGGGTAACAGACCTTTCTAGCAAATAGTTCTTCAAAAAAACTGTATAAGTTTGTTTAAAATTCCACTAATAACAGTGTTTGATAGTTTGTATTTCCTCATACGCTTCCACAAAAGGTTTCATCAATACCTTAAAAGGTTCTGGTCGTCTTAATGAGGCTGACAAGTTGGAAAAGATTAGTTTGATGGGTTAAAAAGAAATTGCATACCTAAGTATGACTTCTTCTTTGGTGAAGATAGAGTTTTTCATGGTAGTCGCTCTTAACTCACCTAGTGAATGCCTTTCCCTTCTGCTGCGGAGCTGTTCATTGGAGCCTGTGCTCGCTGTGTATTCTGCACTTAGTCCTAGTATCTATGAGGAGCGTGCAGTTTGAGTTTTGTTCATGCTTTTCCTCATTGTGATTTTTAAATTTTCTTTTTAATCAACAATTGATCATTTTTCATAGTTGTGGGGCGCAATGTGATTTTTTTTAATGTGGAGAACACATATTTTCCTTCCTTCGCCTATAATATGGGGGTTTTTGAAAATAACAATGTGAGCAGACAAAGCAATATTACACTCTTGTCAAATGATTGAAGAGAGTGATCTCTTTCTGAAATAAAGGCAGTGAAAACCAGATAGAAATCAAAGCAGAATTTAAGACACTGGGCAACGTTTGTGACCACAGGATATACTGATGAGTCATTGTAAAAAGATAGAAGAGTAAATATTATGGACTTTTAAGCAGTTAAATAATATTACTGAAGTTATTTTAAATAGGGCATCTACTAATATAGTCTTGAGGTTAATATCCTCTAAAGAAAACTCGTTTCAGTGAAATTAAATTCTCCTATACTTAAGTATTTTTTAATTATTCTTACTATTCACATTACCTTATGGAAAGTGTTAAGGAATAAAGAGCTTTTCCTGTGTCTGACCATTTTGTAGTATCAACCCTTAGTTTTTGTGAAATTTAGACTACATTTAGTTTAACTTCTTATGGAGGACACAGATTTTCTAAATAACAATTTCCCATAAACTTTTGTTTTCATAAAGGTTACTAACTCACGTTTAATTAAGACAAGAAAGTCTTGGCTACATACTTTCCTAGAAAATTTCTCCCCAAATGACTTACTTACCATTTTCATTTATTTTTAACAAATGAAGGCCAGAGAATGCCCATACTCCCTCATCCGTCTACAACAAAACACAATCCTACTACCCACGAATGATCCGAGCAGAGTCTTCTCAGATACCAAATAACAAAAAAGCCATTGTGAGTCAGTGAAACTATGTTATTTTCTGCCCAGAGGACTGTTTCCAAAAGTTTATGTGTATGAGTATATTGCCTGCATGTATGTAAGTGCACCTGTGTCGTGCAGTGACGGTGGTGGTTGGAAGAGAGTGTTGGGTTCCTCTGGAATTGAAATAACAGATGGTTGTTAGCTGTCCGTTGGGTGCTGGGAATGCTGGTGGTGCTTTTAACCACTGAGCCGTCTCTCCAGACCCCTGGATGTTCATTTTCATAGACAAACTTACATCATTTCTGCCTTCAGGAATCCAGCTTTGTAGGGTGTTGGTACCTGACATAGGAAGTACAGGCTGTGTAATTTGTAACAGTTCTTCACCAGTGATCGGATCCCTTAAAACCACAAGGCTCCCTGCCCTTCCCTCTGTTTACTCAAGAAGAGTGAGGCAATATAAAAGTTAATGTAACTTTCAAGACTACTTTGTAGTTTTAAAAACAGATTATATGTGTCATTACTTTGAAAGCTTTCACGAATTGCTGCAAACATTAAGAAATGAATTCTCCACTATAAAACGCAGCATCCGTCACCACTAAGCAGGGGGTTCACTTTTTTCCTGCCCTATAACAACCCTTTTAACTGTTATGAAAGGTGTTGATTAGCTTTTATTTATGCTAGGTATTTAGGGTGTCCTACTGAGGAACCAAGGTTCATTTATCTGGCACATTTAACATGCAGTTCAAAGGGTGTAGATTCAGAACATGATACAAATAATTTGAAACTCATCAAATGTCCTACACTCCCTTCACAAAGCACATGTGTTTCTATGTGAACTTCATTCCTCGGGGACTTCCTATTCGTCTGTAGGCAAAGAACTGCTCTGTTCTGGAAAATATGTGACTCCCTATGTGAGAAATGATGTTTGAAAAAAGATGATTGTTTCATGTGGCTTCACAAAATTGTCAGCCTCTGAGCATCTGACCAATGCATTATTGGCAACATCTGCAGGCAGAGTTAGTCAACGCAAATGTACAGCTCTGCTCAGAGTATAAACAAGAAAACTTCCAGGTAATCTCAAGATTGGAAGGCCCATTGTCCTGGACATAATTTTACTTGACAGTGTCATCACACAGCAAAACTCTCCTTGACATCCATGCAAATACTTTTTTGTTGTTTTGGGTTTTGTTGCTATGGTTGCTTTTGAGACAGGGTCTCCCTGTAGCCCCAGCTGGCACTCACCCCATAGACCAGGCTAGTCCCCATCTTTAAGAGGTCTTGATTAAAGGGGTGCGCCACCACACCCAGCTCCATACAAATACTCTTTGAATGATCTCTCCTCTTCACTGTAAGTGCAGCTTACATTTCATTGACGTTTCCTTCATGGGCCATTATCCCGAGTGAAGTGATGTTCTAGATCAGTGATGCCACATTGATCAAGACGGGCAAGGCCCTTCCTTCATGGAGCTCAACTTCTCTTGACAGGAGGCAATGGAAAAACAGTGAACAAGTCGACGTGTGAGTCGCAGGCCACAGTAATGACCTGCAGGAGACAGGAGTATGCAACACCCAGAAGCGCTTAGAGGAAAAGTGGGCAGGGAACAAGCACTGAAGAGTCAGGGGCCTCTCAGAGAAGGTGTGAAGGTGTGTGCGTGACTGCAAGATAAAGGATAAGGCGTAGCCTTCAATTCTAGAAGAAATGAGGAACAAATAGAAAAAATGATAGGGACCGTCATGCTGTGTCCAGATTCCAGAGGAGAGAGAACTCCTTGGGCAGAGAGAGTCATTTCTTTACCAGTTTTCATATGTCCAGTAGGATCTAACTGGACCAGCAGGTCTGGATAACCTAAGAAGCGCTTGGTAAACTGAATAGGTCCATCTTAGAAGACAATAGAAGGAAACCTGTTATTCTAAATGTTTTCTTGAATAACCGTCTATCTGAAAACCTCTGTGAATATTAGATTGGACCTGTTTTTGTCAGTTTTTTAAAATAACTTTTAAGCAAACAATACCTTAAAAGGAAAATAGCCAGCCAAGTGGGTTCCACACATACAACCTGCTGGTTCACCTACTTACCACATGTGTTCAAGAAAACACCTGTGACTCACAAGCCTTCCGCTGAGCACAATCAAGTTAATTGACAATGCCTTGTGTAGGTCAAGGATAAGGTCTTCATAATGTTCCACATTCATTGTGTTTGGGCACAAAGGATATTTATTTATGGACTCATGTACCTT